ATCAGATGATAGGGTTAGAGGTATACAGCGAGAACGCATGGAAGCACCCAATAAACTGGGATATTCATACTGACTGTCTGAACTGTCTCAGTATTTTTACCTTTTATTGTTATTTTCACTTATTAACATTCATTATTGAATTAAATATTCAAGGAGATGAGGATCGAGGATTACCAGCAGAAGTCTAACCATCTCAAAAGAAAAAATTTCAGGTTCTCTTAACTGAGTTCATTTTTACGGCAGCTTTATGTTACGGTATGTGGCGTGTGGGCGATGCTAATCCGGGGCGTCTTGCTGCGGTACGTGATTTGCAAATGTTTTGTTTGACGCACGGGACACTCACTGACCAATCTATTAAGGCAGTAGGAACGCTTGGATTGCAGTTTTATCTAGGATTACGCAAAAACGCATCATGGAATTAATAAGATTAAAGCTATTGGAAATGTCTGCATACATTTCTTCCTTTGCCTGCGAAATATTTTTACGTGCAGTGGAAATACAGTAATAGCAGCGATCAAGACTGGACGAATCTCTTCCATGCAACAGTTCTCCGATGGACGTTGCACGCTAGTGAGTGGTACTTGTGAGAGAAAAAATGACTACTAGGGCATTACATCCAAAGAGGTGGCAATGAACAATCAGCGAACATGAACAGGAAACATGCAGCTCAGGATCGAAGAAACTGACACAACAGACCTGTAGAGGCATTCCGGTACCACCGTACTGAGATTCTCAAGTCCGTTAGATTTAGAAATTCCTGCTACCTGCACTCAGCATCAGAACCACGCCATCAGCTTGTTTCTGTGCAGTCCTCGAAAGATGGAACTGCTAAAAGCTTTCTTGTAGATGGCGAGTGACAAACGATATCACCTAGAGCTGTCACTCTAATAAATCCATCTCCCCACACTGAGTTAGTTACCGGGGCCTAAAAGCTGAGATCGCGGGACAATTTACTTAGTTTCTACAAAATTACAGTATCATTTCAGTTGGCGATCAACATGCTCTATATGTGCGTTACATCGATTAGCATTGGTTTTCACATGACAGGTGCGGCAACAGCTCGGAAAAATGCCGATGAAATGAATGCAATTCTGGATGAAACGCCAAACATTGAGTGTAACATCAATAGGCACAAAGAGAGCATGCTGGCACCACGTGGACTTGGTACCATCGAATTCAAGGATATTCATTTTGCTTATCCGAGCAGACCTGATATTGAGGTAAGCAGCGTTGATTTTTTTTTCTGACTAAATCAATTCAAAATTGAGATTTTCATAGGTATGGAGAAACCGACACCTACTGACCACCAGTGGACAACTGGATGCCAGGTGGTACGCTTTTCACGCTAAGGGTAGTGAGAAAATCAACGTCAGCCTTTTTCCGAAATTATATCGTACTAATACAAGTCAGGAATTCTGAGTTTGGCAGCTTGTTACTACAACTTTCGGAAGAAGCATCCAGAAATAATCTTGCCAGAAGGTGGCTGCTGTTCGTATTTGCTACCGTTCGGACTACTTCTGTAGCGCCACCATTTCAAATAGAAAGCAAATGCGGAGGATGTTTCTGATTTTTTTTTTTCGGTAATTTATAAAGACGCAATATGTCGCCTTTTAGGTTTTTGATGAAATTTCGGCTTTTTCTGAAAAATGTTTGTTCTAGGTTTTGCGAGGAGTCTCATTTACGGTATCAGCGGGTGAGCATCTTGCAATTGTTGGCCCAAGTGGTTCTGGAAAAAGCACTTTAACTGCTTTGATGCTACGTTTCTATGATCCGACAAGTGGTCATGTGAGGATTTGTTTTTACAACTGTCTGTTTTTTTTTTCCTGTTGACCACTGGACGCCTAAACAGATCAGCGCAGTGCAGTATATGCCATCGCGATATCAGTAAAAACTAAAAAAAAAGATTGCAAAACAATTTATCCATTCCGCTAGGCAATCGATGGTTGCCGAGTAAAAAGTCTTGAGGGTGGCAAAAGTACCACACTTTAGAACGTGTTGTGAAACAATCGAGCCAATTCTGAGAAACAGGTGCGTACAAGTGATGAAAAAGTTGGACACAATCTCAAAGTGATGTCGAAAAAAGGATTTAGTGTAGCCATGTAGACCTGGTATCACAGTTAATGAACACTTGTGAAATCTGCAAGTCATTCTCGCCGTGCCCCATTTGCACAAATTCAAAACACGTTAACGCCTAAACAGGTGCATGTGTGTGTTTATGTGGATGCGTTTGCTTCTATCTGCGTTTGTTTGTGTGTTTGCTTGCTTGCGCGATTGTATGTGTGTGTACTTATATATGT